TTTCGTTGTATAGAGGTTGTTTGACCTTGTTTTCGCAACTTGGTCATATTGGTAGGAAGACTTATTGGAAAGCACCTAGTCCGGGGTCCATTGTCTGCGTGATCATTTTCAAAGTTGAATTGTAGACGTGGTACATTCCAAGACGTTTCGCCGGCATCGTAGTCGGCATCGTAATCGGCATCCAGCCTGATCAAGTCTCCTCTTCTTGCTATCTCACTCTCAACCTATCCAACAGCCACAAGTAGTTTCCGCTTAACTTCCTACATTCATTCCGTCTATTCAAAATGTTGGCTGTTTTGTTGATTTTTATTGCCTCTCTAATCTTTCGTTTGCTGGTTGCTATAGTCTCCATATTCAGCTAATCGTTCGGCATAAGACCAATCTATCTGGTGTCCTGTGCGAGGCATTTGCTTGGCAAATTCCGATTTTTGGACACATACCCTTGCGGGCTGTTTTGTGTTAGGATAACCTCTTGTGTATGGGCCTACAGGTCTCTCCCACATAGGCACGACAACATGAACTCAAAATCCTGTAACAGACCGATCTGGAGAGCGGGTCAGAGTATTCTCGAAAAGAAGGCAATACTGAGGACAGTGTTATTTTCTCTTTATAAATGGTCCTGAAGTCCTGCCTCCTTAGTAATTGCCCCATCGTCTTCGACAGATTACACGATGGTAGCATAAGGGTCCTGGTAGAGTGATCTATCTTTTTATCTAGCCCCAAATATGCATTTCCGTTTATTCCATTTGACAATATTCTAGATTAGTTGTCAACCCGCACTTCTGGATAATTATTCTCAACCAGAATTCGCATTAGTCTCCTCAGTTCCTGGTCCCGATGATTAACATCTGCCATACGCAGGCTCCTTATTATCATAGACTTCCTGACTCCTACTTTAAACCCATAAGTGTGGTTGGAGAAGAAAGTCAAAAGGAAACCTACATTTTTGGGTTTCCTATACACATCACGACCTAATCTGGTCCCCTCTTTGCTAGCTAAAACACTAAGAAAATATAAGCCACATTCTTTTTCTAACTCAATGGTGAATTTCGTCTTCCAATCGATCCTATTCATCAAAGCAAAAAAATTCTCCAGGTTTTATTTTCCATTTTGCCAAATAGCAAAGTAGTAATCCATATAGCGACATAATAATTTAGGAACTAAAAGTGATTCTGCTAGAACCCTTCTACTCGTCTCTTCAAACGAAATGGAAAGTCCTTCAACATGAATCTATTGAGGGAGTCATCGAAACCCAAATGTTCTACAAGACATTAGATGTGTTCGGTCATGTATGTGGTCCATGAAGTAAAAGTATGACCATTACTCGGGCTCTTTAACCTCAGCGTGAAAGCCCTAATTTTTAGGGGCCTACTCAGCAAAACGGGAGTAAGCGTGCCATCAAAAGCTTGAGGCAGTGTGGGAAATAAAGTTTCGAGTAGTACAGACAGGATGGCAGGAGTCGAGTGAAATACAGGAACCAGGAAGATAGGAGGCCAATCCTACGGATCAAAAGGGGGACTCTGAGAAAACCTAGGGGAAGAGGATTGCGGAGGAGGGGGTGAGAAGGTCAGAGTGGAGTTTTGGTAGTCTCTCACGAAATCCGCTAAAAATGACACACCATACCATATTTAAATAGGAAATACGAGGATATATGAAAGGTGAATAACCCTGGACAACAGGTGGTTAACAAACAATTGGTCAAAGGATCGGCTTCACTTGTCTCTTTTGACGAGTTGTTGTGTGGTGCTAAGAATGGCGAGACTAACTGACGATGCCGACTACAACGTCTGGGAATGTACCACGTTGACGGTCTGATTGTGGAAAAGATCATGCATACTATGGACGTCGGACAAGGTGCGTTCCTCCAGGCTTTCCTGCCAAAATCACCAAGTTGCAAAAATAAGGTCACACAACTTCTATCATTTCTTAAATCACTTTAACCGACCTAGGCTATGTGTTTATTTCAAGTTTGGGGGGACTTTCATTTCGTATGAAATTGCATAAATAAGAGATTCGTTGGTCAATCACACCAGATGAGGACAGATGAAGCTTGTTGTACCGCAGCCGTTTGGCTTTTACACGACGTTCAGGTTGACGCAGTCCACGAGATTTCCTCCCTCGTTTCGGGTGAAAACGGACTGAACTTTCGTCCATCATATGATGGACATCATCAGTTAGTCTTTGAACCTTATTATATTAAATAGCTTAATCAGTCCAGTTCACTTTAAGTGTTTTAAGGATTGATAGTTGAGTTTTCCTATAATCCGATGAGTAGGCCTTATGATTTTAGTGAATTCCCTACAACCCGGCCTGCCATTAGGCCATCTTATTCAACTGTTTCGTTCAAGGTGACATGGAGACTAGTAGTTGCATTTTCCCAAAAACTTATGAGTAGACCTTACGTTTCTATTGAATTGTACATAGCCTTTCTTTTCCCTAAACGTATTATCATCCAGGCTAAGTTGTACTACAATCTCCACTTCGTATACATCTTTTCAGCACCCCAAAATGGGCTCAAACCATGACAAGTTAACAACTACACCACACTGCAACAAGTGCCCTTGGGTACCGAAGAACATGTGAACTTCAAGGCAGTGGAGTGGACGTCACTTTTGATTCGCCATCGCCAACATGACGGCCTCCAGCATTAGAACTATCGTCATCATTACAAACAGCAAATTCATGCAAACTGCCTCCTTTCACGTCAAGCCTGATGCCACCATGGGGTGGTCTAAGAACATGTGCAGTTTCACGAATCTCTTGAGGCGGCTTCACTCGGCCTGGCCTGGAATGCTTTTTTCCGCTGGCCTCTAATGCCGCTGGAAGGCGTTCTGCGAGTGATCAATGACTCTGCGTAGTCTCGTCAACTCTGCGATGCACCAGCACAGTTGCCCATTTGTCAGCCGAATTCGATCAATTCCAACCTCTCGCGTGTCTCATGATGGCACAGCGCGTCAGTTTGCAGCTGCTCAGCCTTACTTGAATGAGGCAGTGGTTGCAGTCTTGTTGAAGGGAGAAAAAAAGACATCGATTTTCCCATTCGTGCTGCCAGCTCATTTTCCCACGCTTTTGTAGACCACCGAGCCGAAGCTGGCGGCGATTTGAAGACACTCTGACACTGGGTGCTGCATTTGGCCGACCTGATCTGCGTGCGTCTTCGATCGAGGCAACTCATAACCGGTTGTTGAGCCGACCAATAGTATCATTATTCACTCACGTCGGTAAACGACGCTTTCGTTTTGACGTATCGAGACTTTCGGTACTGCCAGAAAAGGAAACAGCGTCAGCCGAGGTTGCTGTTGGTGACTTTAATGACTGACAGTTGAGATTTTTCCCAACAATCAGATGAATAGGCTTCATGTCTTCATAAGAGCTAATCTCCCAAATCACACTCTTCTAGTGAGATTGACGATTAGGCAAACGGGTATTTATGAGGAAAAGGTTAAGTTCGAAGAATGCATTAATAGATTGATGCTAGTGCTTGAAGAGGCGAGAGGAGGAAATTGGCTAATGGGACTCACTGAAAGCCGAAGAAGGATTTACTTGCGGTTTTGAGTGTAGATTTTTTGCCGTCTGTCAAATGACATTCGAAGAAATCCATATACAAATCTCTAAGGCAATCTTTACCCGGCCTCAGATAAGGCTATAATGTGAAACTTATCTGTAAGTACTGGAATCGTGAATTCTCCAGCAGTTTGGATTAGCTTGGAAGTTAATAATGGCTTAACTTCCATTTTGTTTGAGAAGACGGTTGGAATGGATTCGTAAATTTATATGAAGAGAAGCTGGGCTTCGAAGAATCCCTCAATAGATAGTCTTTGAACCTTATTATATTATATAGCTTAATTGGTCCAGTTCACTTTAAGTGTATTAAGGGCTGATAGTTGAGTTTTCCTATAATCCAATGAGTAGGCCATATGATTTCAGGCCTTGCGTATGATTTCCATACTTGCGTACATTTCATTTTCAAATGGATACGTAAATGTGTCTCAGCGTATACTGAACGAGGTTTTCTTTATATTTGTGACTGCTAAATTGTGCAAAGATGTCCTCGACTCACCATTTTGCGATCACACACCACCTCACAATTCAACAGTCACAAGTCCAAGGCAATCGTCCTTCGGTACCCGATGAAGCCAATTTACGAATCCCGTCCACCCGTCTTCTCAGACTAAATAAAAGGTGTGGCAGTAACAATCTACTAAGGGATTCTTCCAAACCCATTCTCTCTTCGTAACTTTACAGTTCTTGATTCTCGCACAGATTGCAATTGGAACCTGATCTCTTTCAAGGGAAATTGCATAAACAAAAGACAAATGCCTCTAAGCCAGTCGTCCTTCAAGATTTACTGTAAGTCTTGAAAACTAGCTTAAGCCTACTTTAAATCCAAGTAACATAGAAATGGGTTAACCTCGTTGTCACAACTTGTCAGGGCGACTTAAGAAAACGCAACTAGTCCGAAGTCGTCTGCCATAGTAGTTGTCATGATTCCCAGCATCAGACAATGAGGTCAACCCACTTCTATAAATCGAAAGGAGACTGCAACCATACCAGAGGCCACAACATCTTGATCTTCATATCTTCAACTAACTAACATAGTTGGAGTGTCTTTCATTTTGTTTAAAGAGGCTCGTATGGAAGGAAGGCTCATGCGTTGACCCCACCTGAAACTGTAGCGGGATTGCCTTAGAGTCGTAACTGTAGGCTTGTGTGAATAGGTCTTTGGCGCACCACCTTTGACCCCGATTAATCCTTGCTGAGCTTTCATCCGTCATGTGACGCATAGCGTCAGAACAGGGCACCATGCTTTACGATAGATATGAAGACGAAGTTAGCGTGACCTTCTGTTTGGTCACAGTTTCTTTTAGATTTATAGTATTGGTTCGACCTTATTTGTGTAACTTGCTTTACGATGGTATGAAGACCAAGATGGTGTGGCTTTTTGTATGCTCATTCTGTTGTATAAAAATTATGTGACCTTGCTTTCGCAACTTGGTAATATTGGCAGGAAGACTTAGAGAAGCGCACCTAGTCCAGAGTACATTGTATGCATGATCATCTCCAGAGTAGTGTCGGGGACGTGGTACATTCCCAGACGTTTCACCAGCATCGTCAGTGAGCCTCGCCAGTTTTAACATCACAATACAACTCGTCAAAGAGTTAAGTGAAGATTTACGATAATTAACCAAGCACTCACGTCGAGGACCTATTCGCACGAATTTACAATCACAACTCCAAGGCAATCCCTACCCCGCTCCCCCT